TGAAAAAAAAGAAATAAAAAATGTAGCTTATAATTATTACAGCTGTCAGTTTTAGCAAAGAATGGTATTAATAACTTACTTTATTAGTTTAACTCATGAAAAAGATTAGTACTTTCCAGTGCATTCCCATTTTGAATTTACATTCAATTATGAAAATCATGCACAAACAAGTATGACTAGGAGAAAAAAAACATGTTTTTTGTTGTAATTATCAAAATTTTACTAAATGTACTGTGAAATAACTGGGGGAAAACATCTTGATGACCTTGTAACTATGTACATGTCAATGATGCTTGTGAATATATTTATGTATAACTCAGATCACAGGCATATCAAAATACATGATGTTATTTTAATAATATAATATAGTGATGATTTATTTTTTATATGGCCCATTACATTTAAAATCCTAGTGTTCCTTACAGTTTAAGAACTAAATATTGCAATATGTAAAGATTTTAAAGTGACAAAATTGAGAGCTTAAAATGGCAAATCAAGACTTAATTATGACAATTACAGATGGCTAATTAAAAAAAAAACTAAAATTTTGAGTCATAGACAATGCTTAGAGTTGTTGATGGCTATTAAGCAGAATCTAGAGAATAAAAGATCAAAACAATTAAACTGCTTGTTCAGTCACAATACACTGTTTCAGAAATGTAAGTCTTTAATGTTTCATGAAATTCTCAAATTCATCTATGTCTGTAATTTCAAAAAAGCTAACTATTTTGTAGTTTAGGGGCATTAAATCATGAAAGCATGAATAAAGAAAAACTGAAGAGAATTGATAATTCCTCCCTATTTAACATGCCTGTATACACCTAAGTGTACATAAACAAACATACTATCATGATAAAGGTGATAGCAAGGAGGAGATTGACCTGTGACAGGTATTCAGATAGTCTAGTTCATAATATATTATATGAATATCACATATAAGCACTTATTGTCCTAATATTATTTATACCTAATTATGCAGTGCACTCCTAATGAACTGAGTTACCCAGCAAGATATATATCTTACAAGTCATGACAACCCTCTGGTTAATTAATTTAGAGTTCATTTGTCTCCCATCTTTACATGTTTTATTGATTCCATCCATTTTGCTATCATATTTCTTACTTATAATACGGCTTCCATAGCAAACCATCATACTCTTATAATAAAAGGCAAATGTTAATTTTTTCTCAATAGCTGCAAATGATTTATTTGAAAAATCGTGGTTATTTCCTATCATATCCCAGACACATAAATTGTTTTTATGTTTTGGGATGTATTTGTTGCTGAATGTCATGTTTTGTCTGTTGCTGGGGGGAGACGGGGGTGGGGGGGGGGGGGGGGGGGGGGGGGGGGGGGGATGGGGTGCGAGTGAAATTGTGGCTGGAAAAGCTGTCAAATGATGTGGAATTTGCACTGTGTTAAAGTGTTGATATATAGTAAAATATCTCATAGATGTCAGTGCAAAACAATGAACTCCGCACGATCTAGTCTATGTTAATTTTGCATTTTAATATACTTCTGTTATGTCATTATGATATGGTTATATTACTGTGAAAGTGTTTTTTTTTTTCTTGACATTTTATCTTGCTTGACATACAACTGACTGCATAAGACATACAACTGACTGCATAACAAGCCTAAAAGTGATAGTATTTCTTTTAGGATGACAATTTTTTCACACCTTGACCGTAGAAGACATGTTTTACCTCTTGACCGCAGATGACATTTTTACACCGTGACCCTTTTACACCTTGAACGTGACACACATACACACATACACACACGCATCCAGGTACAACATTTCACCTTCACTAAACTAAGTTACTTTGAGACACACACGGATCACATGGCTCAGCACTTGATATGTAAATTGTTAATATGATACAAACACGTTCAGTGGTTGCGGTTAGTGGAGTGTTCCCATGACAGCAGAAAAACAAGTGTTTGGAAGCTTTACGACTCCACCCGGCACGGCCTAGTGGTGTGAACGGAGGAGGTTTAATGGTTTTTTAAGATGGTTCCTGGCTTCTTTAATAAAGTTTCATGCCAGAAGGAAGATATTTCGCCTCAGATGTTTGTTGTACCGTTGAATTTATAGTGCTTTAAGGGATGCAATTATATATATATTATATATAATAAAGCATTTTTACAGATTTCAGCACTTTTCCATGTTCATCAAGGCATACCATATGAAAAACGGTTTATAGAATAAAGCTATATGAAGCAGTTTTTGAGTTTTGAGTTGAGGTTTTGAGTCACTCTTGTAATGGATAGTCTGGTGGATTTCACTCATGGTGGTTAACGTTAAAACTTAGAACTAAAAAAAAATTGGCTTACATATACTAATTTTCACCCTTAACATCAGTCAATTTCGATTTTTTTTTTTTTCAAAAATAAATTAATCTTTTCATTTATGTTAAAGGCAACTTAGTATCTGATTATTAAAAATGTGACAACAAACATTTGATTCTTCTCACGCAGGGAACCAGTTTATATGCTTGACACTTGGTAACTTTTTAGAAGATGCTATATATATTTTTATTTAATTTGGATTCCAAACACTGCAGTCTGAAAAAAACTTTCCATGTAATATATTTCTTGAAGCATTAGTGCATGGCCTTTGGGATGTTTAGAAATGCAAGTAGCTACAGTAAAGACTTTTAGGAAGACGAACTCACGTAATCCCTCTAGTGCAAAGGTTCCGAGTGCAATTAAATTTCAGTGATATGTCTTTGTTTGCGATGTTTACCTGGGTATCTAGGTAGTAATTGTAAAGAAACCTTAAAATAAGTTATTTAATTGGTTCTCAAGATGTCTTTAAATGTTAGAAGGTGTAAAGACGTACTTTAAAGCATAAAGGTCATTTATTCTTCAGCCTTGTTAGGGTTGTACGATGTTGGAGCAGGGGTAGAGTTTGAATTTTTGTCATAAGTGGCTGAATTTACCCACCCTCTCCCCTCATCCCCTTCACATGGTTGTCAATAATGAAAACAAGTTGCATAACTGAGGACTAGTCATCAGCTTTTAATGGTCTTCACCAGTTATTTATTTGTGCTGCGAGTGCCGCATTGAAACACTAACTGCCAAAACATGCCCATTATCCTAATTTGGCCACTTGGGTGGTTTGCATTATTCTTTTTTTACTTGAGTTTCTTTATATGTGAAAGTTACTCTCTCATTTTTTTATATGATTGCATTAAAGTGGGATCTGTATCTTGTTTTTTTTCCTTTTTATGTGCCTTTCTCACCATACTTTGAAATATTTGAAAGGGTATATGTTTAAGAAAGATAAAGATTAAAACTGAAATTTTGATTTGGGATTTTAAGTATAATACTGTATAAGAAATAATGAATTTCCAATAACAGCAGACTGGTCTTAAGGATATTTTGGAACCAAGAAAAAATTGCACAGGTTTTGCGAATATTCAGGTTGGAAAAATAACCACGTCTAAAACCAAAGAAAAAAGAAAAATAAAAATGAATGTGTAACAAGAAATGACAAGTTAAACAGAGGCTACTGTAAGTAGTCTAAAGTAATTTTTATGCCACCTACAACACTGAGGGCCCATTCAAAACAAGTTGATCCACGGACTAAATATGGACAACCCCAATAAAAAGCAAGCTGCCTTAAGCCCCTGATAGTCTCCCCACCTGCACACATGCCTAGCATTTAAAACTTGGAGCCAAGATGTAATCCGTTTAATGGTGTGTGTGGAGGCGGGGAGGCCGTCACGGAATTAAGGCAGCCTGCTTTTTAGTGGGGTCCGCCATATTTAGTCCCCAGATCAGTTAGTCCGCGGATCATCAGTTCTGAATGCGCTCCACTTTGGCCAACCCACATGAAAGTGTGCCACACGATCCCCTGATAGACACTGAGTAGATTCCCCATGGGAATTACACAGTTTAGTTAGCTTTCAGGTGGGTCAGCCATATTTGATCCGCAGATCTGTGAGTCCACAGATTAACTTTGGTTGTGAATACAGCCTTAGATCGCATTCACAATGAGTTGAGCCATGGCTTTACAAATCCTGGAAGTAAATATGGCAAACGTACATGAAAGAAAAACCGCCTAATCTTTTAATAGTCTCTCCGCCTCTCACACGCCTCCCCATGCGTCGTCCCTGCGGGGGTACAGTCATTAAATCTCGGCTCCATTGGGACGACACATGGGGAGGCGTGTGAGAGGCGAAGAGACTATTAAAAAATTAGGCAGTTTTTCTTTCATGTACGTCTGCCATATTTAGTTCCAGGATGCAAGTTCCAGGATTAAAGCCATGGCTCAACTCGTTGTGAATGCGATCTTAGATGTGTGGTTCACAGACAACATGTTGCTTCAGACATATTTCATCTCCCGACTGTCCAGATATCTTTAAGATTGGAGTGATACATGGCCACTTAGCCTGCCCCACCAGATTGCTACTCTAGATTTCTGTGAAAATGAACACTTTTGTAGCCTCTAAGATTGATGACGATGATCTACTGGGCAGGCCTGCAATTTAAAGAGGAAGCAAATATGGCATAGTTGACCTGGCGTTAAAAGGGATGTGATGCGATGCCAGTATTCCGTGTGCGTCAGAGACGTCCTAGATACTACAATTTAAGTCACATAATTGCCAGAAATGCTTTCCTGTGCAAGTTCCAGGAATTGCGGAGATAAATCACTCGAAGATTTGACCTTTATGTCCTCACACTTATACCCAGGGCTGGGGCTACTGCAAAATGATTGCATAAAATGATTTATTTCCATGGAATCCAAATTAAATACTTAAATAAAAAATAAGATCTTTTTTTTTAAATTACTAATATAAATTTAAATATTTTTCACTTTCTTTGACCTTTTTTCCTAGCACCTTGGATGAAAGAAAGTAGCTTCTTGTGTAGTTTAAGAAGTCTGATAGACTGAACCTTGTGACTACTGCCAATCGAGTATGAATGATCTGCAAAATGTTTTTGGAATTTATGATGAATAAAACATTTCAGGTTTTTCTGTTTTTTCTAGGAAGATAATGGAATGTATAATAAGAAGTGCATGTGGTTCTGCCTTGTTGTGTGAAGTGAAAAGAAAATGGGAAGAAAGAAAAGGAAAATTCAACACATACTAATGAGCAGAAGAATCCTGTAAGGTAAGTGACTGACAAATATTCATATCTGAAAAAAATTTAAAAAAATTGGTCAATATATGGTTGATTAGCTAATCTAGTAGATTCCACTTGATCATGGCCACTGCATTGGAATATTTGGTCGTAGTCTTTCCCTTAATGATGAGGTTTCCTATAACCAGGAAACTATGTATGCAACCAGTCTCACTTGTTTTATGGCTCGAAACATGCAGTCATGTAGCCCCCAGAGCACTTGTGGCGGTACAAACTACAGGTGTAACCTGAGCTATTGGTTATAAGTAGAAATCTTCAAGGTAATCCACCACCAAAAGTTGCATGATGGGTAAATATTTTAGCAAACTTTGGCTCGGAGAGAGCACAGGAGCACTTCTAAACTTTGGCTCGGAGAGAGAGAGCACAGGAGCACTTCTATCTCAGAGGCCGGGTTATATTAATATTTCAGCTAATTTCTCCCTGCACAGGTGGAATGTTCCCATGTGTCATACACGTGCCTAGTGGTTCTGGTAGAGTTTACTCGGTGCCCTTACCTTGGTGAAAAAACCCTGACATTTTTTGAGCAGTCTGAACTGTCTAGACTGAAGAGCGTGCCCATAGCTTTCCATGTTTGTACTTAATGCATGTAACACCAGCCCTGTTTCATTAATCAGCTCAGTTTGTACTATTAAAGAGCAATTGATCTGTACCCTGGTTGCCAAATATCAAGGTCATCATCATCATCAATAATCTTTGGATAAATACTTAAGTATTTCTACTACTAGGGTAAAAAAAGGAAAGAACAAAATACTAATGGCACTGTTAAGTGCAGTCCTAAGTTGGATCAGTTTCTCTTTCTTGTTTCTGAAGAATCAGACTTTCTTTTATTCTGTGATTTTTTTTTAAAGTCTGTGCGTTTTTGCCTGGACGAGTTACAGTTTTGTCATAAAACACAAAATAAAAAGAAAAAATACATAAAAATACATATATATTTGTGGATTTTTTTTTTTTTTTTTTTTTTTTTTTTTTTTTTAATGTCATATTTTCATCCATGCATGTAATAGATGAGTATTGGAGGAGTAGGAGGAGTATGAGGTAAGAGATGCCTAGGATGCACACTATTTACGTACTACACATACTGAGGTACATATTTCGTGGGGTCTAAATAAAGATGTCACCCCTGGAAATGCTCTGCACTGAACACTCAGTTTTCTCACCTCAACTTGCTTCCTCACTCCAGGTAAATGTAGTTCAGTGATTAAGAATTCTCTTTAGATATGATTTGTGGAGCTATGCGATATTCTAGTGATCTCTTTTGAAGGTCATGGCAATCGATGCCTTCTGGTGTGGATACATATGCTTTTATGGCTTGTCTGGGGAAGCTGTGTGATGAATAAGATTTTATGCAGAATAGTCAGATTGGGATTAATAAAAAAAATCAGGGAAAGAGGAAATAAAGTCTACCATGATGAGAGAAATTACTTACAAATTGCAAACACATCATTTATTGCATTATTAATTTTTTTTTTTTTTTTTGCATTTGATATATTTTCCACTTAAAAAAATGAATTTTGACAAAGTTAGCCAGCAGCAGAGAATTAAAACTCAGCAGTCTTGAAATCTATTAAATTAGGCCTATTTTCAACTTTGAATGCAAAGAAAACATGTGGAAACTGAAGTTCTCAAATTTTGAACATGTTATATCATATATAAGATTCATCTGAACAGAAGAACTTCCAAAAAAACTAAAAAAAACATGCGTTTTCTCAATTTGAATTGTCAATGCGAAAAAAAGGATTTTCTTTTTCTGTAAGCTAGCTATATACCATCAGTGCATTTGATCTGTTTTATTTGCGGGCATTTAGTGCATTTACAACTTGTTAAAAGAAATGCCAGGAGCTACCGACAGTTAAAGGTAGGAAGGATTGAAAGTGGTATCCACTTTGACTGCGATCTATTTATATTCCACACAACTTGATACATTGCCTGTAGTTTATATTGGAAAGGATAGGGGGCAGCACTGTGTTTGGGTGTGGTGCTATTTGTTGTCATCCACTACTGTTAACTGTAAATGCTTTAAGACTGGTCCATGATGAGGAAGTGTAAAAAAAATTATGCAATTCATTTTCATTACCATCCAAAGAATCTCTGTTATCCTTTATATTATCTTATTGCTCACCCATAGGATTACAAATGGTTTCTGCGCTTAGTCTACAAATTGTTTAATTAAAAATGGTGCTGTTTTTTTTTTCCTTTTGCTTTATAAGTTCAAAATTGTGGATTTGATTTCAGTGAATGGAAGAAAAAATTTCAAAAAGAAAATTAAGATGGCAGTGTCACAAGTCATTACCTCAGAGAGACCATGTCGTGTCAAGTTCGGGTCATGCTTCTACATTTAGTTGGGGTCATGGGCAAAAGGTGGCAGCACATAGGCCTTGTGACCTCAAGGTGACCTGGTCATTGGAAGTTCAGGTCATGCATTGTAGTTATTTTTCGTTTTTGATTAAAGGTGGCAGCACTGAGGCATTTTGACCTCAGAAATTCCCGTTCATGGAAAGTTCAGGTCATAAGCAATCATTTGATTCGCATTTCTGAAAGGTGGCAGCACTTGTGTGTTTCACGCTAGTGACCTCAGAAAAGCCTGGTCAATGGAAGTTCAGGTCATCTCCCAGGTGGAAAAGGTCAAAGTTGGTATCACAGGCAAATCTAATTCCACTCAGATCGAAAAGGAAAAGAAAAAATCAATTTTCTCCAGCACCACCTGCTTCCCTTTTTTTAAAGTGATCCCCAATCAGTAGGAAGATAATGTGGCTCATTTGCATTAGTTGCTGGCAAGTCTGATAAGTGACCGCTGTTGTATAAGGAAAGGTCATTCCAGGACTTCTCATCAATGGAAGGTCGTCACCGCGTGCATCCCGAACCACGTGGTGTGTGTCGGTCAGAAGGTTGACCAGGGTCAGTCATGAAATATTGATTGGATCGCAAGCATTTTATTTCATTAGAAAAAAAATTCCCCTAATAAGTTTATGGAAAAATTTTTGAGGTGTCAAGGTTAAAATTAATTAAGTAGTAATATTCATTGAGGACATGGTTTTGATAAATTATGCAATGAAATAGTTCAGAAATTGTTTATTTATTGCTTAGAAGTATATCTTAGCACAAATTACCAAATATGCATTTTGTACTAACTGAACTCACTATAGTGGGATATTTTACTGATTTATTCAAGAAAATGAATATATTGCAAAAGTTACTGTCATTGAATTACTACATCTATGTGGATATGATGGATGTCTCATGAGATGCCCAATATGAAAAAAGATTACTTTATGGTGTATTGAAGAGGAAAAAAAGCATTAATTTCTACATGTCACCGCAAATGAATGGACATTTTCATAATTGACATAAACTGCAATTACTCCGAAGACTGGAAACTGTCATTTAGTTTTTATGTCACATCACTCATGAAATTAACTGAGCGTGTGTCTTCAACCCTTTCAGATGGGGGTGGGGGATAAAAAAGGAAGTAATAGTTTAGTTAGCCAGTAATTTTATTTTATTTTCTGCTAAGGCTTTGTATTGATGTTTTAAAAGCATTTTGACACAAAGTGATATAAATCACAAATATGCCTTGTATCATGGCTGTTTTTTTTTTTTTTTTCTATGTACCAGCTTCATCACTTCATGGCTTTCCAACATGAATTACACCCAATAAATGTATCATTTCAAGACTAGTTTTGTAATCCTTCATTTCTTGCACATCCTAATTACTACTTTTCAAGAAAGAAAAAATCTTTGAACAGGGACATTCATTGATTTCAACATTTCTTTAGAATGTCACATGCCTTCAGGGTAAAGATGTAAAGTAATCATGTAGTCTATCCTAAAAGAAAAAAGTGAAAGATTTAAGTCAATGAAAATTCTGTGCACTGTTCCTTTCCCTTAGTAAAACCATGTTGCCATAGTCCAAGATTGGGGGATTGGATGGTTCCCCCCTTAACGCCATGAGACAGGCGCATGCCCGGGCAGTGACTGGCTAAGGTCTTTCACCTCAAACCTGCCATTATTGGGAGTTCTTTATTTTGGCTGGCGTCTGTGGCAGACAATACATTTGGGAACACCTGTTAAAAAAAAAATTAAGTTCAAAGTGTGACTTCAACCAGCAGACAGTAGTACCACCCTACTGTTTGTATCCAAGATAATACACACGAGAACACCTGTTCCAAAAAAATTGAATTCAAAGTTCATAGGTCGAGTTAAAAAAAAACGGAATGTCAGTATGCAGTCTACATATGACATTATATTTCAGTACACCTGTTACGAAAAGAAAAAGAAAAAAAATGTAAATTTTTAAGTTCAGACTCTGAGCAAAAACAATCTGAATAGTGCTCTGCCGCAGTGTGACAATGCATTAGAGTTATTCCTTAGCACCTGTGACAGACACTTTTTTGTTTCATCGTCTCTTCTCGCGCACCTGCTGTCGTGTCTAGATGGCTCGAGGGGACGACAATACCAGGAGAGAGGGGAAAGAGTCAGGCCACGGCCATTGCACCGCTGGTGGCGGGTCAGGACAAGTGCACCAAGCTAATGGGCTAGGGTCATGGGGAACCTGGCACTTCTATACTTGTCTGTTTTGTACCACTGGCTTGCTAGCACAGGACAGAAAAGTATCATATGAACAAGATGTTTGCCCCCCCCCCCCCAAAAAAAAAAAAAAAAAAACGAATCAAAAGTTCTGATGATGAGTGTTAGACTGACCCCACATATTTTTTAAAAATTATTATGATATATCTGGACATTTGCATGCATATATAGTATTTTTTGAGTGAAGACAGTTATGTCAAATTTCACAATAAGAAAGAATTGGATCTGTCAACTGTCATTGAACCTAATGTGTGTGTGTGTGTGTGTTTGTGTGTGTATGTGTGTGTGTGCATGTGTGTGTGTGTATGTGTGTGTGTGCATGTGTGTGTGTATGTATGTGTGTATGTGTGTGTGTGTGCATGTGCGTGAGTGCATGTGTGTGTTTG